GTCTGGGACAGTCTCTCTAAGTTCACCATGGCACCTGTGCTTGCTGCGCTGTCCTCTCCAAAAGAGACAAAAAGAGAAAGAGAGGAGAGGAGCCCAACCTCCTTGGCTGTTGTCCTTTTAATGACTGATTCTTACAGTCATTTACTACAAGTCCCAGAATCCATTTCCCTCTCAAAAGTGGTTTACCCTTCCCTCTTTTCCCAGAGTTCCATCTTTACACAAGTACTTTTCTTTGATATCTTCCCCCCAGCTATACTATAATGTTCTGTAAGAAGTGACCAGTAGTTAGAGTTGGTTTCTGGGTAGATTGGACAGAATTGCTTGGGAAAACACAAACTTCATGGTTACACCTAGATGTGAATTACTCTGATCGTCTGATCTCCTAATTACATGAATGGAAAACTGGTTGGAAGGAGAACTGCTTGAGGGACAGGGCCGTCTATAATATGATTAGGACCCTGGGCAATGCATTTTCTTGGGCCCCATGGGCCCTGTCCCTGCCACTGCCTCACCCCCCAATTACGTCCAACCCGCAATCACACTGACAGACGTACTGGCACATACACACACAGACAGACATTAAAATATTCACAGATACATACTGACACACACAGTCACTACACACAAATATATACTGGCAGACATACTGACACACACACAGACATACATACATACATACACAGACATACATTAACAGATATACTGACACACACAAACACATACACTGACAGATATACTAAAACACACAGACACATACACTGACAGACACATTGACACACACAGGCATACTGACATACACACTGACACACACACACAGGCATACTGACATATACACAGACAGACGTAATGGCTGATACAGACAGACATTAAAACATTCACAGATATATACTGACATACAAATATATCCTGGCAGACATACTGACACACACACAGACATACATACATACATACGCACACAGACACATACACTGACAGATATACTGACTGACACACACATACACACACATACTGACACACAAAGACATGCTGACACACACACACAGACATACACTGACAGATATACTAAAACACACAGACACATACACTGACAGACACATTGACACACACACACAGGCATACTGACATACACACTGACACACACACACACAGGTATACTGACATATACACAGACAGACGTAATGGCTGATACAGACAGACATTAAAACATTCACAGATATATACTGACACACACATACACTGACATACAAATATATCCTGGCAGACATACTGACACACACACACACAGACACATACACTGACAGACATACTGACTGATACACACCCAGACATACTTACATACACACACAGACATACACACACAGACATACTGACATACACACAGACAGACGTACTGGCACATACACACAGACAGACATTAAAACATTCACAGATACATACTGACACACACATACACTGACACACAAATATATCCTGGCAGAGACATACTGACACACACATACACACAGAGACATACCTACATACACACACACAGACATACTGACACACACACACAGACATACACATACACACACACACACACAGACCTACATTTAGCCACCTTCCAGGTTCTTACCTTTTCCTGGAGGGTGGTTTCCCTGGTCCAATGGCAGGTTGAGGCAGATGGGAGTTCTGCTCTGGAACTCCCCTCCTCCCTGCCTTCCTCCTTCCGCGCGGCCATTATCTCCGGTGGGAGGAAGTGACGTCACTTCCTCCCCGCCGGCTGCAGAACCGGAAGAGGGGCCCGGTCGCGCTGTTTAAGCGCCGCAGCGCCCGACCGGGCCCCTGCTGACACATGCTCCCCGGGTGGCCCTTAGTGCATGGGCCACCCGGGGAGCCTCCTCAGTGTGCGGGAGCCGCACCGCCCGGTCCATAGGGGCTGCGCAAATCGCGGGGCCCACAGAGCAGCTGCTCTGGGCCCCCAGGAGCAACTGGGCCCGGGGCAGCTGCCCCGTTTGCCCCGCGTTAAAGACGGCCCTGGTCTGATTGGCTGCTGTACTTGCATTGTAGGTGTTGTAATGTGTTTATTGGTGGTTCTGCAAAACCCTGTGGGCAGTACTATGTTTTCTGGATTGTAATAAAAACCAGGCTGGGTGTGCCAGCACTGGAGTTCCTGCTTAACCCTCAAAGTGAAGTGTCGTCTCATTATTGGGGGAAGGATTTATTGTATGCTGTTCCAGTTTGACTGCTAGGAGAGTAAACCTATTCGTATGGTTCCTATTCAACTGTCTACAGCATTCATATGCTTGGGAGGATTCATATGCTTCTCCAGTTCGGTGGTTGTGGTGTCTGCTGCAGTGCTTGGAGTCCTCAGGAACCGCTAGGAGCATCCTTTAACGGAGGTAAACAGTCGGGGTGCCAGGTGATCCGTTACATGTGTAGTTAAGGACTACACACCTATATAGCAGGAACCAATAGCCCAATAGAGAAAATTCAAATATTTTATTTAAGTATACTGAATTAAAAATTCTAATGGCCAATTAGAATATATAAAAACGAAATATATAAAAAAAAAATAAAAAAAAATAATAATATTACAAAAAAGGGCATAAAGGTGATAATATTGAAGTCCCTCGGGACTTCAATATTATCACCTTTATGCCCTTTTTTGTAATATTATTCTTTTTTTTTTTTATAAATTCTTTATTTTGAGAATTTTGAGTACGTATATGGGGTACAGAAAAAAGAAAAGGGTATAGGGAACAGCAGATCATAGTACAACTCATCTACCCATAACCTCTTTGGTGGCCGACTGTGCCTAGATTCACTTAAGTCCCCCTCTTTTCATATGGGTTGACTGAGGTGCGCCTACTTTCAGTCTCTGAAGAAGCCAGTGTACATGTATGCTCTGGAATATATGCTTGGCTTTATTTGGCTTATGTCAGGGGCAGGTAAGTCTTTGTTGCGGTCGGCTTGCCGTGTGTACTACAACTCTGAACCGGAAAAGGGATATTCAACTGGGGCAAACATAGGAAGTGAGGCATAACAAAGTCTATGCCTAGTGTCAGAAAGGACTATGGTCTGATAAATACTTGTGGGTTAACGAGCTCTTCGAATTGTGGCACTCTTATGTCTTGACTCTGAAGGCTCATGTTCCAATGGTGTAAATGAGTTTGACGTGTGTGGATAGCAGAGCCATTTCGGCCCTCGCATGATATGGAATCCTTTAACCGGTCTAGTGGAGGTGGTAGGGGTAGGGGGTGAGGGGCTAAAGGGAGGGGCTCCATCAGGAGCTAATCGGGGTGGTGAGAAGGACCGGAGGGCCGAGGTCCCCCCCCTCACCCGCCAGCACTACACCGCGCCCCAGGGGCCCCAGATTTTCCTGATCGATCTGGTCGTCTCGTGAACCAGGGCAGACAATTCATCCATCTCTCTGGATTCCTCTATCTTTCTCGCACCTCTAGCACTGTCGGGATATCCGCCCAACCCCAGTGAGCTGCTATCCCCCTTCGGGTCGCCAACGCTATTTTTGCCACTAATTTATTCTGCGCTCTGGGTAGGGCCTCTAAGGGTTTGGATAAGAGCCATGTCCACGGGTCTGTTGGGAGGGTTATTTGCAGTGCCCTGGAGGTGATATTTACAATCTCCTTCCAAAGCCCGGCGACATGTACGCATTCCCACCACATGTGGAAATACGTGCCTTGAGCCCCACAGCCCTTCCAGCAGCGATCAGAGTTCGACTGCCGCATCTGTTTGAGCCGCAGGGGGGTGACATACCATCGGAGCAGGGTTTTGTATGCCTGCTCCTTATGATTTACACAAATTGTTACGGAGGCTTTTTTGCCATTCCAGCAGGTCCTTCTTGGCCTGTGCTATCAGCGGGAGATAATTCAATCGGTACATCAAGCTTTTTAATTCCGCGGGGAGATACACCCCCAAATACTTGATGCAATCCGGACGGAAACGGAATGGGTACCATTCTCGAAGGGACCTGTCCATTTCGTGGGGGATATGAAGTCCCAGTGCCTCCGTTTTGTCCAGATTCAATTTATATCCCGAGATCAAAGAGTAGTCATCTAAGAGACGCAACAGAGGGGGCAACGAGGCTTCAGGGTCTGTCAGTGTCAGTAAAAGGTCATCGGCATAAGCTGTGATCCGAATTGTTATCCCCTTAATGGCAGGATCAAGTCTTATCTTTTGGAGGAGGGGCTCGAGGGAGAGGGCAAAGAGGAGGGACGAGAGGGGACATCCCTGCCGTGTACCATTGTATATGTAAAAGGAGGGCGAAGGGGTGTTCGGTATTAGTATCCGTGCAGTCGGGAATGAATATAGGTTGCGGATTGTAATCAGGAACCCATGGGGAAGTCCAAGTCTGTCCAGTGCTGCGAATAGGTATGGCCATAGAATGCGGTCAAATGCCTTTTCGGCGTCAAGGGAGAGCAGCAGTGTGGGGGACTCTGTACGTGTGGTTGCCCACAGCAGGTCATAGGTGCGTCTGGTGTTGTCACTAGCTTGTCTGTGTGGGATAAAACCCATTTGGTCTGGATGGATCAACTTCGGAAGGTAAGGTTGCAACCTGTTAGCAAGGAGTTTAGTGAGTAACTTAATGTCCACATTAAGGAGCGAAATGGGACGGTAATGTCCAGGGTCCTGATGGGATTTGTTTGGCTTCAGTATCAGGCTTATACAGGGAGTGCAGAATTATTAGGCAAGTTGTATTTTTGAGGATTAATTTTATTATTGAACAACAACCATGTTCTCAATGAACCCAAAAAACTCATTAATATCAAAGCTGAATATTTTTGGAAGTAGTTTTTAGTTTGTTTTTAGTTATAGCTATGTTAGGGGGATATCTGTGTGTGCAGGTGACTATTACTGTGCATAATTATTAGGCAACTTAACAAAAAACAAATATATACCCATTTCAATTATTTATTATTACCAGTGAAACCAATATAACATCTCAACATTCACAAATATACATTTCTGACATTCAAAAACAAAACAAAAACAAATCAGTGACCAATATAGCCACCTTTCTTTGCAAGGACACTCAAAAGCCTGCCATCCATGGATTCTGTCAGTGTTTTGATCTGTTCACCATCAACATTGCGTGCAGCAGCAACCACAGCCTCCCAGACACTGTTCAGAGAGGTGTACTGTTTTCCCTCCTTGTAAATCTCACATTTGATGATGGACCACAGGTTCTCAATGGGGTTCAGATCAGGTGAACAAGGAGGCCATGTCATTAGATTTTCTTCTTTTATACCCTTTCTTGCCAGCCACGCTGTGGAGTACTTGGACGCGTGTGATGGAGCATTGTCCTGCATGAAAATCATGTTTTTCTTGAAGGATGCAGACTTCTTCCTGTACCACTGCTTGAAGAAGGTGTCTTCCAGGAACTGGCAGTAGGACTGGGAGTTGAGCTTGACTCCATCCTCAACCCGAAAAGGCCCCACAAGCTCATCTTTGATGATACCAGCCCAAACCAGTACTCCACCTCCACCTTGCTGGCGTCTGAGTCGGACTGGAGCTCTCTGCCCTTTACCAATCCAGCCACGGGCCCATCCATCTGGCCCATCAAGACTCACTCTCATTTCATCAGTCCATAAAACCTTAGAAAAATCAGTCTGGAGATATTTCTTGGCCCAGTCTTGACGTTTCAGCTTGTGTGTCTTGTTCAGTGGTGGTCGTCTTTCAGCCTTTCTTACCTTGGCCATGTCTCTGAGTATTGCACACCTTGTGCTTTGGGCACTCCAGTGATGTTGCAGCTCTGAAATATGGCCAAACTGGTGGCAAGTGGCATCGCGGCAGCTGCACGCTTGACTTTTCTCAGTTCATGGGCAGTTATTTTGCGCCTTGGTTTTTCCACACGCTTCTTGCGACCCTGTTGACTATTTTGAATGAAACGCTTTATTGTTCGATGATCACGCTTCAGAAGCTTTGCAATTTTAAGAGTGCTGCATCCCTCTGCAAGATATCTCACTATTTTTGACTTTTCTGAGCCTGTCAAGTCCTTATTTTGACCCATTTTGCCAAAGGAAAGGAAGTTGCCTAATAATTATGCACACCTGATATAGGGTGTTGATGTCATTAGACTACACCCCTTCTCATTACAGAGATGCACATCACCTAATATGCTTAATTGGTAGTAGGCTTTCGAGCCTATACAGCTTGGAGTAAGACAACATGCATAAAGAGGATGATGTGGTCAAAGTACTCATTTGCCTAATAATTCTGCACTCCCTGTACACAGGGTTATATCTTAACCCAGTGGTTTCCAAACTTTTTAGGTCCAAGGTGCCCTTAATATTTGAATATTTTTTTCAAGGCACCCCAAGTCAAAATTCCTAGGTTGTATATCTGTACAACGCTGCGGCATTTACTGGCGCTATAGTGTAATGTATAGTTTGAAGGTGTGCTTGTATATAGTTTTAGTGTTTTAATACAGGGGTGTTTTTGTATGTAATATTTGCGTTTGATTGCAGGGGTGTGTTTGAATGTCATGTTCAGTTTTAAAGGCAGATGTACATTTGTGTGAAGTACATTTGTGTTTCAGTGAAGGGGTGTGTAATTTGTATGTAATTGTGTTAGATTGCAAGAGTGTGTTTGTATGTTGTGCTGGTGTTTGACTGCTTGGATGTATGCACATACATACATACATACATACTTGCAGATATACATGCACATTAACACACATATACATATAAATACACCGACACCGACACATACACATACACACACATAGATACAGATACGCATGCATACACCAAAATATATACACACACACTCTGACACACAAACATTGATACATGCACACACCACGACCCAGATACACTCACTGACGTGAAAACACAGACCCTGATAAACAGATGTGTGTACACACTGACACACAAATTGACACACAGGTGTGTGCACACACAGACCCACACACTGACACACAGATGTATGCACACAGACACACACAGATACACACAGATGTATTCAAAGACACACACACACACACGTTCAAAGACACACACACACACAAACACACACAGATGTGTGCACACATACACACTCACACAGAAGCACACTGACCTATACACACCCTGACACACACGCACACTGACATATACACACACCCTGACACACACTCCCATACACACACACACACCCTGATACACACGTGATAATTTTTTATATCTCCAGCCACCCTCCTGTTAGCTTAGGTTAGCTCCTGGAATGCTCCTGTCCCCTCACGCTGCAGCTGCCTCCTCTCCCTCATGCATGGTCTCCCTGCACAAAGTTGGGAGGAAGTGACAGGCTGTCACTTCCTCCCAGCCGGCCGGCGTTACAGGGGCCCGGTCGCGTCTTAGAGGATGACGGCACTCGACCTGGCCCCAGTTCAACAGTTTTGTTTCCCTGGGGAAACATTCCGTGGCCCCCTTGTGTGCACATGACGAAGGTGCATACACTAATTCACAGAAACACGCTTGAGGTTATTGATCCTTTGGGCACTTATGACCTTGCACCCACCACTTAGTGTTGTCTATTTGTATATAGACATGATCTTTTAAATTTCACTTTTCAATTTTTCTGACTCCTTTATCTGTCTTAGTTAGATTATCAGGTTATTGCTGGTTATTGGTACGTATATTTATCTACATATAACAAAAGGTGTAGCGCTACATACAAATCGAAACTTGTTCCAACTCTTTAGTTGTCACTCCCGTAAAACAATTTTTCACTGAATCAATGGTATAAGCAGGGCCGGATTAAGAGCCCAGTGGGCCTGGTGCTGACAATTATGATGGGGCCTAATTACAGAATCTTATCGACCAAAAACACTAAAACAGTCATACCTCCCAAGCGTCATGTATCTGATGGAGTTGGTGTTGGAGGGAAACTCAAAGGATGCAGCCATAAGAAAACACATACTCTATGCTAATCTCTTTATCTAATTCAGGGGTAGTCAACCTTTTAATGCCTACCCCCTACTTTTGTATCTTTGTTGATGGTAAAATTTCTTTACTGCCCACCAATGCTGCAGTAACTTATTTTATAGCGAAAGTGCAATTAAATTTTTTTTTGAAAGGAGGGTTTTGTATATGTGTGTGTGTGTGTGCGTGTGCATGTAGGGGGCTGTGTGTGTGTTAGGAGTGCTGTATGTGTGTGAATGGTGCAGTGTGCGTGTGTGTGAGAGGTGCAGTGTGTATGTGAATGTGAATGGTGAATTGTCTGTGTGAAGGGTGCAGTGTGTGTGTGAGAGGGGTGCTGTGTGTGAGAGGGGGCAGTGGGTGTGTGAGGGTTTCAGTGTGTGTGTGTGGGGGCAGAGTGTGTATGAGGGGGCAGTGTGTTTGTGAGAGAGGCAGTCTGTGTATGAGGGGGCGGTGTAGTGTGTGTGTGTTTTTGTGTGACAGGTGCATAGGGTCTATGCTGTGTGTAGGTGTGCGAGATGTGAAAATCTATCTTAATGTCTCCCCCTCCCTTCTTCTTACCTTTTACCAGGAAGGGGAGGCATAGTGCTGCAAGCACTGGTGGTCCAGTGGTGGCATGTTCACTTTAGCCTGCAGCTCCTGCAGCTGCAGGCTGACTCTCCTGTCCTCCTGCGAGCACAGCACTGTACTGGAGCATTGCCATGGTAATGCGCAGCAATGCTCCGATCAGCCTGCTCGCAGGAGGAACACAGAGCCTCTCTCTGTTTGAACTAAGTGTCAGTGGCACTCTGAGGGAGATCTCTGATCTCCTCACCAGCCTGAAAGGGCTTTCAGCAAGGCTGGCTCTGCATGGGCTGGCACAGGAGATGAAAGGATCTCACATGCCAGCCTTGACCCACAGCCATCAAGGCCCACTGGGCTTTTTCCGCAGAACCCACCTCCGCCCATCTGAAATCCCAAGCCGCCCTCTAGTGGGCGGTTGTGACCAAGTTGACTACCCCTGATCTAATTTATCTTTTCATCTTTCAAGTAAATCCATACCAACAGCAGTGTCCATTGAAGCAGGAAGCCAATGGGCGGGGTAAAAGAGTCGGCCACTGATGCGAATCACATGACCAGAACTGCCAAAAGGGGCGAACATGCCCAAAAAGGGGGTATGTCTGTCCAAAGAATTGGAAGGCCAGCCTGGCATCAGTGTCCCTATGCATCACAGTGTCAGTGTCTCCATGTCGCCCAGTCCCCTAGTCTCCCAGTGTCTGTGTGCCCATTTCTCCCAGTGTCCCCATGTCTCAGTGTGTCCCATATCACTAGGATACTAGGGGACACTGAGAGACATGGGGACACAGAGACACATGGACACTGAGACACAGGAACACTGAGACACTTAGGGACACTGGGAGACATAGGGGCACTGAGACACTTGGGGACACTGGGAGACATGAGGGCACTTGTGGATACAGACATGGGGACACTGAGACATGGAGACACTGGGAGACATGGGGACACAGACATTTGGGTACACTGGGAGAAATGGGGTCACAGACACTAGGGACACAGAGACATGGGGACGCAGACACTGGGAGACATGGGGACACTGAGACACTAGGAACACTGGCTGGGAGACAGAGGGACACAGACACTGTCTGGGAGACACAGGGACACTGGGAGACATGGGGACACAGAGAGTCATGGGGACACTGAGACACTAGGGACACTGGCTGGGAGGCATGGGGTCTCTGGGAGCCATGGGGACACTGAGACACTAAAGACACTGGCTAGGAGGCATGGGGACACTGGGAGACATGGAGACACTGTGTCCCTAGTGTCTCCGTGTCCCAATGTGTCCCAATGTGTCTACCTATGTCTCACAGCATCCCCATGTGTCTCAGTGTCCCCACGTCTCCCAGTGTCCCCTAGTGTCTCAGTGTCACCATGTGTCCCCTAGTGTCTCAGTGTCCCCATGTCTCCCTGCTGCCTTTCCCCTCATCCCTCACTTCCCTGGGCTGTAGTCTGTCTCTGCAGGCTGGGTGCTGCTGTCTGAACTCTCTGTACTGTGTTGCTGCTCCCCCGCGGATCAGTGAGTAGAGAGAGGCAGGGAGGGATATGCTGTAACTTCCTATCCCTGCCTCTCTCCATACACAATGATCCCTACTGGCCGGTGCTGGTATTGCAGAGTAATCTCCGTTTATACTGAGAAAAATGTTTGCATTTGTCTTGCCGGTATTACTGCAATACCATCACGGCCCGGCAGCCTTAAATACAGGCTGTGCCCTAAAATACCAGTCAGATGGAAAACCTAAGAGTAGTGTGTTAAAAAAAAAAGTAAAAAAAAATTTTTTTTTTTTTTTTTTTAAATGGGCCTATTCCATGGGCCTGGGCCTGGAGCTGCAGCTCCATCAGCCCCTATGTTAATCCGGCCCTGGGTATAAGAACCTTGTTCTGAAAGAGAGATTAAGTACTCATAGTGCAAAACTGTAAATGAAAATTATTACAATAGTAACTCTATATAAGGAACCACTCACATATTACTGAGCTTACAGCCAAGCTCAGGGATATAAGCTCTCAGGTCCGTAAAGACGACCTTTCCCCTTCTTGTGTCCGAAAAACGAATCTCGCGCTGTGGCTAGAGCTCAAGCAGAAATATATATGGTGCAATATAGTCTGGAATCCATATTGGTATAAGAAATATATGTATTTATACTCACAAGTATGGAGCCACTCTTTTAGGCTCTTTATCAGCACGTTGCACGTCAGCGCGTTAAAAAAAGAATAATATGGGGGAGCGGAGCCTGGCCTTGGTAAGAGATGGACGCTTAGTCCTGCAGCTCCCTCTCTCCCCGTGATAGAATCCGCCAACATCTGCGGCCACAGGCACCCCCAGTTATTAAAAACCATACCCCCTTTCAGTTTGCCCTGGGCACACCACCCGGGCATGGGGGGATCCAGAAAAAAAAAGGGGAACAACCCGTCTGTTGCCACGTTATTCCGTTCTCAGAGTACACCTCGGCGGCCATCTTGTCGAGGGGATATGGCGGACTCCAGCCCAGACTCAGAGGGCTAGGGGCGCTCGAATGCAGCTGACCTTCCCTTAACTAAACGGGACCTGCAGGCGCTCCTACTGGATGCCACTACCGACATCAAAGCGCACACAGCGGCGGAACTGGACCGTCATATACAGGCCCTGAAATCGGACATCGAGGCCTTGTCCCGACGGACCAACCAGGCTGAAACACGCCTAACAGCCCTAGCTGATACCTCCCGCTCCCATACTCAAGAT